CGTAACTTACTTTCAATCTTTTCCAGTCTGATGACCAAATTGGTAATGATAAAACCATTTCCATCTCATCATGTCTACTGTGAAATAATAAACACCCTGAGTCTTCATTTACACAAACAGGACTCTTCTCCACAACTATTTATGAGATCAGCTAGAACACAGTATAATATTTTTTCATATTTAATAAAATAAAAAGAAACCAACCTCTTTTTTCTTCTTCTCGTTTTAGTTTATCTTCCTCTATTTCCTTCGGTAATTTTTCCTTTTTCTCTTTCTCCACATCATTATGCAAATGTTTTGTGGTATAGCTAAGTGCTGGTGAAAGAAGGATCTCTCCATTTTTGCAGAGTTCATCACGAATTTTAATAAAAAACTGCTGAAGTTCTACTGCATCCTCATATATTTCAGAATCTGTCCTATAACGGAATCAAGGGTAGCCACTGACACACAAGCTGCTCCTTTTAAACATCTCAATTATACGTTAATTTTATTAAATGCTTCTTTAATGTTAATTGGCATAATGGTATTTCTGTACAGTTCTAAAAAGTGTACCTTCTTGAAGTTTGGTAGAACAGAACTGAGGTGTTGTTTTACTATGGTAAGTAAGCCTCATGCCCACCCATTTCTTTTTCCTCAAGTTCACTCCTTGTACAGTTCATGTAAAAGGAGAAGCCTCACACATTTTCCCTCAGAGACTTGTGGCACATGTATCAATTAATTTTGGCAACAGAAGAATGGCTGCCAAAATCAAGGACTGTACCAAGGCTCCACACCATGTCCAACACTTACTTATGTCTAATCTGGATTAATTTTTCCTTTCTCTTAATTGCAGACCAACATATTATATACATAAAGTGTTAACAACAAATTTAGGCCTCTCTTCTTTTTGGTCCTACCTCATGGTTGACTAGGCTGGAGAACTCAGTGACCATTTGAACCTAAACTGCAAAACCATGAGGGCATCTTGTAATAGTTACAGGCCTCAGAGTCAATGTTCATTTCAGTTTTCCAGAAATAATCACGTAATGCTGGGGAATCAGCAAAGGCAACACAGTGAAAGATGTGGGAAAAAATGATGTGTGTCATACTCAGAACTTTTCTGAGATTTTCCTCACTTATAAAATAAAAGGGACTGTGCAAAATAAACGTTAGAATTTAGATGGGAAGAAATTTTATTACTATCTCTAATCCACTGTGGTCTGAGGAAGGCTTAAATATAATTCTATTAACTAAGAATACCAGGGTCTAAAAAGTTATTCACAAAAACAAGCACAGAACAATGTCTCAGCAGTTATAGAGACATTCTGGATAGGGCAGAGTAGCAGGCATAGGTAGCCCAGTCAGCCGCCTGCAGACACATTCCATCAAATTTCAACAAGACCTCCAGAGTGCCTCTAAGCAAGCAGTTAAAAACACTGCCAATAACCTAACTAGGTGTTTCTGGAAAAGTTTTAAACATCTTTTGAGGTTATAAAAATGCTAATACTTGTAGGAAAACAATAAAAATAAAACTTACCAAGGGAAAAAAAAACCCTGACACTATTTTGGTGCCTATTTTCTGAATAGAGATATCTGAAGATTGTTCACTTGAAATTAAAGTTCATTTTACAATAGCTTACAATTTTAAGTACAAAATTAAAAGTGAAAACACACTTTTGGTAAATCCATGTTACACTGAAATGGCAGATTCACAATTCCTCATGTCAGGTGGTTTAGTAATGAAAGTTTTGTACAAGAGTCACTAAACACCTGATATATCTTTTTTTTGTTTTGTTTATTCAAACAAAGTACTATGAAGAATTTGTTAATCTATGAGGCCAGGTGTTCAATGAATGTGCAAGAACAAAAACTCAAGATGGAAAAAGAACCAACTCTAATAATTCTCTACAATTGGAAGGTAATCTTTTTATATAAGGCAGACATTCAGCAAAAGGAAATAACTAAGATTACAGGAGGCTCTTGATGCTTCCCTTGTTCTTGTCTCCCCATGGGTCCTTCTTACCTGAAAAGGAGTCATGGTGCTTAATCCAGAAATACTGTCAGCAGATTAGGAAAACCAGCAACCAACCGGCATGAGTCAACACTGTGCCTGCTGTTACTGAATACTGCTTATGACAAACCACTGCCACCTGAGTGAACTATGCTATTCTTTTATGTCTCACTGTTTAGATTCTATCTCAGGGTGTGAAGTCCTAGCTGATGTTGGGTAGTGGTGCTGGGTAGGGGTAAGTGGTGATAAAGCATAAACACTCTTAGAGGTCAACATGGATATGTACTGCATGTGGACTTCATTAAATTCATGAACTTACTACTTCTGGGATGCCCATCTTCATTACTGTCAATACAGTAGATAAAGACAAGGTTTATCATTCACTAAACTGATGCATCACCATCAATTCTTATCAAGTACTTTATCTTAATTCTTATTAAGTACTATAAGAGGTCAAAATAGTACCTTTATTCACAAAGATAAGAATGGTTTTCCTTTGTTTTTCAACAAAGTCCTAGGCATGAGAGCAAAACTGTGTGGATCACTATCTCATACAAATATAAATGTACCTTGGACTCTACCTCCCAGGCCTCAAAAGCAAAAACCAATCGTGTCAACATGGGAGAATAAAGAGATTATTTCCTAGAAATATAAATCTGCTTAATTCTTAAAATAAACATGTCATCTACACAAGATAAAGTTCCTAATAATCTAAGAGACAAATACTCTTTGGAAGATTCTCAGAACCCCTAAATATAATGGGGTTGGGGAGTGGCTTTAGACTTAAGGACTAATGAGAATAAGAATGGAAGTCTAAGCTGCATGAAAGCAGGGTTTGTCTGTTTTGTCCACTGGCATATACCATGCATCTAGAAAGTGCTCATAAACTGGTAGTAACTTAATAAAAACTTGTTGAATAACAAATAACTCCTGTAGATTTTAACTGCAAGATATCCTCTATCTTTCTGTTTCTATCCCTCCTGTTGAAGAATAAGGACCACTTCCTAAATGTGTCACTCAAGGGCCTTTCCAATCTGGCCCTAACTCTACCCTGTCTCTTGAACATACCATATTTATTTCCTAACCCTATGCTTTGCTCATACCACTTGCCTTATTTGAAATATCCTTCTCCCTACTCATTTGAATCCTACCCAACTTTTCATTCTTCCCTGACGCCTCATGCCTTTTTAGGAGAACTCTAGCCTAGAGTTCCTTATGCCACCATCTTTATAAATATCATGTTGTAACATATTGTCTCATGTCTGGAATATTTCTCCCTAAGTATAGGTTCTGTCCCATCCATTAGACTTCAAGCTCTTAGAGCACAGAGTTCAAGGCTTATCATCCATGTCTGTACTCCATGACTGGTGTTCTAGTGACTGGCTCAGCAGCAGCTCTCCGCAGTAGGGAACAAGACCAGCTCCACTACTTACTAGTTGTGTGACTATGGGTAACTTCTCTCTGCCTGTGTCTCCAATTCTTCACATACAAACTGAGAAGATTATCTCTCACCTAGAATGGCTATTATAAGGGTTTGAGTTTATCTACATAAAGCGCTTAGTATGGTGCTTTACACAAAGAGCAGGTGCTTATAACAAGAATAGCAAACATTACTATTTATTTTTCCTTCAAGGTCCGAGCAAATGTTGGCCTCAAAGATTTCCCCATTGGAATTTCACTGTCTAAATGTCCAGCTTGTAGCATGACAGACTGTAAGCTCTGGGACGCAGGGTTTGTATCTTTAATTTTTTATATTTTCCTAAATGCCTCTAAGAGCACACAGAAGATATAGTATAATTGCTGGATCAAATTTAACAGTCAAGTATGCTATTGACATGTGGCAAATATATGCCACAAATCAAAATTAGAAGGAAATTTAAGTTTGATGTAAATTTAAATTTGATTGCTTCTTTCAGAACATTTAATGTCTCCGGTAGGTTCTTAAAGTAAGAAAGTTAGGAAGCTTGTCCTTTAAAAAAATAAAGTAAGAAATTTGAGGTTAAAAAAAGAAGCCCTTTCAAAATAGCACTTGAAATAGTGACCAAATTTATATCACTCTGACCTCAGATCAATACCTTAAAGCTATTTTAATTTATTTAAGGTATTTTGGGTTGAAGTTAAACCTTAAAAGAAAAATCCTGTTACTATTTCTAATTCCTGTTTCAAACTATATGCATTTATCCTTTAAAACACTTGTTCTATAAAAGGCTATACTTTAAGTTTATGCTTTTCAAGAGTTTTTTTGCTTTCCTCCTTCCTCTGGCCCTAATCTAGGTGACTTAGTAGTGTGCCATCTCTTCCCCACAGAATATACTTGCTCATTAGAAGTTTTTGCTAATTAGAATTCAGAATAGCATGCTACCAGCTGAAATCATATATCTAAGTTGAATTAGTACAAAAAAGCAGTATTCCTTCATCTGTTTTGCATTAAATATCACACATTTTCAAAAAGAAATGGCTTTGAGAACATACCGATTCATCCTTCTTGCCCTTTCCAATACTTCAAACATATGCTCTTGAAATAAATCAAGCCGCCGATAGCGATTATTTTCAACATTCTTCCTAATTATGTCAAACGTAAGGGGAGGTTTGTTAGGAAAATTGGGATCCACAGCAGGAATTTCTGCTAAGGAATCACTGTAGCATCTTCCCTCATCATCCTGATGACTCATGACTGACACAAAGAGATTGTGGATAAGCTCTTGAATCAGCAAGGTCACATTTGGGACATGAGAGTCCTCATCTCCCTCCAGGTCTCTCCGAGTCTCAAGCAGGACTTTGTGCAGGACAAGAGCATCTTTGTAGATCAAAGACTCAGGCTCATTGTATGTACAGGCATTGTTAAACATCATGACAAAGTCCTCAACCATAGAGTCTATATCTTGGTATTTGTTGGCCATCATATGACTTCGAATTTTTTCCATGTCCATGGGCTTTTTAATGGTCAGATAGTAATCAGGCAGCTCAGATCTTGAAGGAAGCCTAAGAAATATGGCACTGAGGCGGCGACCCCTCTTATCAGTATAGTTCTTTACAGCTTCATAGACTTCATTTAGTTTCTGCTGCATTGGAGTCATGTATTTTGATTTTTTAGGAGAAATGCCACTCTTCCTACCTAAAGAAAGAGATTTAATGTTAAATGGATAAAATGAAATAAATGAACTTAATTTTTATACAGTTGGTGGCAGAAACATAAGGGTGCTGTCTTACTTGTTTTGTCTAAAAAACAAAAAACTAACACAAGAAAGGGACTATTCCGAATGATTTGTAAAACACAATAACTAGCATGTCTTTCGTGAAATATATTCTATAGACAAAAAAAGAACTGGAAAAAAATTTTCAGTAACCATATTTTTGATGGGAGATTAAGTACTGTTATGTTGAGATAGCTTTGAATAAGGTGGAATAAAACAAATGAGTAGCTATGTGACATTCTAATTCCATCACCTCTGGCATTCCTGAGTACTGAGATTTTTCTTCATGGGAGAAAAAGAGTTACAGATGTTAAAACAGAGGACACTGAATAAAAATCCCGTGGCCTTGAATCTCAATTGAAAGCATCAGTATGAACTTAAGATATATTTTATCTTTAAATATAAATGCACACATTCACAATTTCCTAGCTCTGTCCACTGAAAAAAACTAGGAACAATGACCAACTCAGTAGCAGTATTCCCCAAACTATAGTTTTAAAATACTAGTTTCAAATATTAATGTCAAGGAGCCCTCACCTTTTAGCAGAAACATGAAAAGGTCAGGGCTCCTTGTCAAATGTCTGACTCCCAGTCTGCTTTATCCTGAAACACCAGACAATAAAGAATCTACCAAAGAGTCTTTACCGTAGTCATGTCAAAAGAACACAGGAACCAGCCTGATACAACATGAGCATCATTAATAAGGACAAAATTGCAATGGATTAAAATTCAGCAATATGTTTCAATCTAGCAGTTCTGATTGAGACATAAAAAAAAATAAAAAACTGGGTAAATATAAGAGGATGTTAGTAAACCAGCACATTATTTTGAAAACTGGTATATAAAGGGAAAAACAAAACCAAAAAAAATCAAGTTTTTATCCTTTCAAAAAAAAAAAGAGACAAACAAAGGACTGCACTACTGGGTAACCAAATATTGGATAAGGCAAGTTTCTCTACATGTGGGTAATTCAAAAAGTTTGCTGAAATATAAAATTAAAAGATAATATGAACCTTTCCACGAAGTTTTTGAAGACCCCTCATATAGAAGTATTCCAGCTAATAACCGAGCAAGAAATGATAAAATTAAACTGTTACCATTTGATACCCCTTTAATGAATTAATGACGTAAGCATCAATACCTGTTAACATAATAGAAAGACACAACCAGATATTATGTGCCACTTAATAGAAGACCGTTTTATTACCTATCAAGTCAGTTTTTCTGCCAAAGGGAGGGGATGGGGAATCAAACCTGAATCTGATCAAGCCTCTGGCTCCAATGACCAATTTTCAAAAAACATAAAAACAGAGGAACATGTTAAACTACAACACAGAGATGCAATTAGCAGACTATGGGAAATGATAACACAAACCCAATTTCTTCTTTTTTTTCTAAAAAGATGACCGGTAAGGGGATCTTAAACTTTGACTTGGTGTTGTCAGCACCACGCTAACCCAGTGAGCAAACCGGCCATCCCTATATGGGATCCGAACCCGTGGCCTTGGCGTTATCAGCACCGCACTCTCCCCAGTGAGCCATGGGCCGGCCCCAAACCCAATTTCTTCAACAGATAAACTGCAAAGAAGGTAGGGGGAAGAGATGAAAGGGAGTTTACAGATTAAAAGAAATACCAATCAAATGCAATGTGTGGACCTTATTTGGATTCTACCTCAGCCAAACACCACCCCAAGACATGACGCAACATAAGTGTAGAAAACGTCTTAGGAAGTATCCTTGCCAAGCTGAAACTGAATCTAATCAAGCCTTTAACATTAACTTCCATTTATAAGAAATAAGGAGGATAAAGGAAAAAGTTCACTGGCATCACAAGGAAGCAAAATGTCTAACCCAGAGTGTGGGACATTGTATAGAAACTGACCTGGTTTCTTCTATGAGTAAATGGCATGAGGAAAGAAAAGGGAGAAGACCGGTCTAGATTATGAGTTTAAGGGCATAACAATCAAAGATAATATACAGAATAATTAGATCCTGATTTGAAGAAACCAACTGTAAAAATACATTTGTCAGACAATCGTGAAACTTGAAAATTTGTCAGGTATTAGACGAAACCGAGAAATTACTGCTAATTTTGTTAGGTGTGATAATGACTTCAGGGTTATTTAAGAAAATGTCTGCTTATTTTAGAGAAATGAAAGACTAGATTTGCTTTAAAATAATTTAGAGAAAAAGAGAAAAAAGGGGATATAGAAAATAAGTAAGGCACAATCTTGATAAATGTCGAGTAACAGTTATATGTAGGGGTTCACTATACTATTCTTTACATTTGTATATGTTTGAAATTTTTCATAAGAAAACACAGAGAAATAAAAAACAAAATTAACATTCCATATTAAAATCCCCTTTCCCTGAACTTTAAAATATGGTGTATTTATTTATTTTAATATATATATTTAGATAGCTATTGTTAAGCTATCCATCTATTGTTAATTAGTCTCCTAACTCAATGCATGGAATTAATTCCATACAGTTTTAAAAGGTGGTATGTTCCTATTAAGTAGGATAAAATTTTGCATTTCTACAAATCTTCTGTATGCTTTTATAATTCCATGAAAAGATAAATGCCTTAAAAAGAAAGACTCGTGACTTGGCAATCATACTTAAAGCTACTGTGAAATTCGGTTTAGTCATTTCATATAAAAAAGCCAGTCTGTTTTTCCTCTTTCAGCAAATATGGCTCTAAAGAATATTTAACAACATCACTATTGTTTGTTTGGTATTTATTTTATTTACATATTTTAAATAAGGCAGGAACCAAATTACTTTTGTTGTCTTCTCTTTCCTTACAACTTTTAATAAAAATACCACACAAGACCACACTCAAATGACAGCTGTACAGTACAGTGGGTGGACATCTCTAACCTCCCAAATTCTATCTGGTAGGAGCTGCTGGGATTAATTTTTAATTTTAGCAATCATCAAACAAACGTACAAAAAAAAAATCTGCCACTATATTTTTCTAGGCTTCATATATATATAAAAAGAAATCTATTATTACTATTTAAGATTTCCAAAATGTCCACCACATTCATGAAAATAAACATTACTGGCCAGCCACCAAAAAAAACAAAAAAAAGTAAACAAAACCTTTGACATTATATTCTTTTTTTAATCTGTTATGAATATTCATGAGATACAAAGCTCATTGTCACCCCTCATGCCCAAGATGTGAAGGCCAGATCCAAACTGGCAGCATGACCATTACCACAAATTACGATTGTACCCCGTCGACATTATATTTTATTCCCCATATGCTCTTCACAGTTTAACTACTTAAAACACAGTAAAAGAGAGTACTAGAGAAGAGGGAAGAAACTCCATGCTGGAGTTTCACCATTTAATTAAATATTATTTCAAAAATCAGTAAAGTCTCCTTTACAGACAACACCAAATAACAAAGTGTGAGGCTGCCTTACTCAGCTTGAGTTTGGGAGAAGCCACATCATCATCATCAGGCAGAGGGCCCAGCTCTTTTCTTTTATCCTTGAGTAGCTTCTCCAGGATATGCGCATCGTTGTATACCTATATTCCAAAAATAAACTTAAAATTATTTTCTAAAAAAACCTTATTATTAAGGTATAAAAAAGCTTTAAAAACACAGTTTAGGACTTTTGGCTCACTACAGATCAATAAAATCATTTATCTCTGTGGGGAGGGCCTAGGCTTCAACTGGTTTCTCTCTAAGCTTCCCAGGTGATTCTAATGTGCATACAAGCATACTAATGTTTGAAAACCACTGTAGTAGAATCACTGCAGGTTTTAACAGAGATTCTGAAACACAGTTACATGCGTGGTTGTCCTCAAAAACCTATCTTTTCCATTGGCCCCTCAAGGTAGCAGACTTAGCCCAATGGAAAGGAGAGATTTAGCTGAAGAGGAATATCTCAAACATTAAGTCCCAAATCTGAGTTCACAGTCTAATCTGATTTGTTAAGAGAGAACCATTTCTTTGATTTACAAGTATCCTCAGTGCATACTTTATTTTATATTTAAATGTAATAGCAGAAGAAAGGAAATAAATGACCTGAAACTTTAAAAAAATTTCTGGGAGGTTTAAAGTGGATAAAGGTTATGAAATAGAAAAATACAAAAGAAGGAAGACTGTATCTTAGCTATACTGATAAAGAATGGAAAATCAAGATGCTTTATACAAAAATCAATTAAATCAATTATTTAGAGGTGCACTTGTGAAAACATCATGCTGATTCTTATATAACATTTTATGGACTGTCTTTGCAGAAGTAAGGACATTAAGGACAGTAATAATAATGATGATGAAAGATTTTAATGTTATTATAGGCGAAACGTTGAGTGCTTCTCAGTACCAGGCACTGTGCTAAATGCTCAATATAGATTATACAACAACCCTGATGTAAATACTATTATTATCCCTAATTCATACATAAGAAAATTAAGGCTCAGGAAAGATAAGTTGCTTACACAGGGATTGGCAGAGCAGGATTTGAATCTTGGATGTCAGATTACAAAGTAAGAACTTCTTTTTTTTGGTGGCTGGCCAATACAGGGATTCGAACCCTTGACCTTGGTGTTATAACAGAAGGCTTTAACCAAGTGAGCAAACCAGCCAGCCCCCAAAATATGAACTTTTAACCTTTGTAATGTACTGCCTCCAATTTTAAACAATTAAGAAAAGACAAAGTATTAACCTAGTCACCAAGAATAACAACCAAAGTTAGGCCTCTAGAGCTGGTCTCTCAAAATGCATTATTCTACCAGCACCCAGAAGAAAATGTGTCTTAAGGACTCCCCATCTCCACTCAAACCCCCTGTACTTACCTGGGAGCCCTCCTCGTTGTAGTGCCTAGCATTCCGGAACATCAGCTTCATGTCTTCTATCATTCCCTCTTCACCTGTGTATTTGTCATTGCGGATGTTATGCTCAATTATTTTCAAGTCCATTGGCTCCAAGATGATTTTATAATAGTCAGGATAGTCCTTTTTGGACGGTTTAACCATAAATAGATCACAAAGTCTTCTGCCTGAACCTGGCTCTCGAGCTTCAAGAACAACATTGAATAAGATTTTCATTCGCTGCTTTCTTATGTTCTTTTTACTGTTGAAGAGGGAAGTAGAAAAGGGGAATAATGAGAACAGGGTCAGTTTTCTTTATGCAAGGATGAACATGAAATTAAAAAAAAAAATCTTGTGTGCAGATGCTTCATAATGACTACAACTTATTGATTACATATGCCACAAACAAAGTAAACATGCTGGAAGCTATAAGCAAATATTAGGAAAATTTCCAAAATAGTTAAAACACAGTGACCCTGGCAGAAGCAGCCAGCGAACACCAGACAAACCTGTTTAGAATATCTCATGAAATGCCATGTTTGACAAAGATCTTGTCTGACACCAAAAGAAAATGAAATTCCATAATCAACTGAAATTCATTTTTTGTTTTTAAGACAAACAGCAAAAATGCAATAAAACTAGGAATCCCCTATTGTTACTAACCACCTCAGTTCCAAGTACAAAAAAAAAAAAAACCCCACAAAAAACCTACTAAAGAGAAGTGTTCCATCTCTTAAGACAACCACTCCTGAATTCTAGTTGTCAGAAAACAAAAGGAGACTGTCAGACTACTGTTTCTATGGTGGGTAGAAGTCTCTTTTGCATTGATCCTGTCAGGGTCAGTCTCTGCTCCCTCCCTCCATCAGCATTATCCCACAACCCCAACCGAGCTTAAAGAATAAATGGTCTTTTGTTCATCTGAGCTTTCTAGAGTAAATTTTCATGTTTAAGTATGAATTCCTGTCTTGTTCCCCAAATTCCCCAAATAACCCCAGTGAGATGTGATGTGAAGAAACTGATATGAGTGGTATGAAACAAAGTACAAGGGACCACAGATTAGAGTTCAAAGTGGTCCAACAGAGCAGATGGTCTTGTCTCTTAATTATTGAGAAAGCTAGCTCAGAAAGACTAAATGACTCACCCAAGGTGAGAAGCCCAGTAAATTTTTAGAAGAGACAATCTTCCAATATGACTTCTGGTTAACTGTTCTTATATCTTCAGGACAATGATAAAGAAATTCTAGCCAGACTTTAACCAGCAGTCTCCAAGTTGAATAGACAGGTAGGTAATAACAAGAAATAACTTACTTACTTTCTATTCTACAAATATTTACTAAAATCCTATACTATAGTACTTAGAGGTAAATATTTTTTAATCTGTTTTCTATCCTACAAATGAAAGCAAACCATGTAGATATATGGGTCTCATAGTCTAGTCCTCTGACTATGTACTCTATTCTGAGTTAGGAAGAAGCAAAAGGCCACATATTCTCTCCAAGGTTAAAAACATGCTTTTAGAAAACAGAAACAAAATTCAAGTAAAGAATAATTAACAGTTGAGAAAATAAATGTCTTTCCTTAAGTCAAGATTTTTAAGTGTATC